CAATTTCCTGTAATTTATGCAAGTAAGTCTCCCAAAATGCACAGGCTGTCAATCTCATCTCAAGTAGAACGGTGTCGCCAGTGAAAACCTTCAGGGTCTAGTCACAATAGATGCAGTACACCCAAAGCAGACTCAACTCAAACTTCAGGGGTCTAGTTTTCATAGACTTAGTATGGATGCCTTCTTATTGTTCACATTTAGTTATTTAAAAAAAAAAAAAACCTACCAAAACATCTTAATTACGGCCAAAATCCAGACTCATACTGTGCCAATCTGCCTGCACATTGTAAAGCCCAGTGCTAGCCAGACCAATGGGAAAGTCAGTAGGAGGCAAAGCACAGGGGAACAGAACATGGTACAGCAGGATGATACAAGAAAGAGCATTGAGGTATGAGAGTGAGATAGAGTAAAACATGCTGCAGATGAGGACAAATAGGAGTAAACACAGAGGGAAGCCAGAAGGCAGAGACAAAAGATAACAAGAAAGAAAGGAAGGAATGGGAAGTTAAAGACAAAAGACATGAAGGGAAATAACACAGATGGGGGGAAAAAAAATGAAAAGACAGAAACAGAAGGAAGATATAGACAGGAAACCCATCCTGCCAGAAACTGCTTCTTATCAAGCTCAGACAAGAAACACTGCCAAAAGAAGAGCTGAATCAAGCATGGAAAGTTCAGATCACCTGAAACTTCTGAAGGCAGATGAAAGAAACTACATTAAAATATGAACGAAGTAGTGAGCTTATGAGGATTTCATCCCAGAGTACACCAGCCCTGTTCTGCTGCAAAAGGGGGAAAAAAAAATTCTTTGGTTCAATAATAGTTTCACACATCTACTTGCAGAAGAACTGGGCCCACTTGTGAAAAAATGTTAATTGATTACGGACTAATTATTAATTAAATAGAATTCGGGATCAAGTTCAATAACTGTTTTTAACATTCATTAGTCTGTATTGCACTCTATGCAGCACAGAAATACATGACAGAACTGGTCCATTCAAAGTAGAGAAGATCCCTTCCTCCTGCCTCTCCCAGCACACACCAGAGACACACGTCAAGGTGTTTTTAGACAAAGGATTAGATAAACTTTCCCACAGAACACAGGACTAACACTGGAAAGTGGTCAAGCACAGTCCAGTCTGAATTTAATTCTGCACTTCTGCTTTGTTTGAAATGCATTGTTTTGTATCACCCAGTACTAACACATCATTCTTGAGAGAGAACAAGGATGACCATGAATCCACTGTGCAAGAAGATAGCTGTAGTGCACCCTTTACTCTCAGAGAATGGCAAAAAGGCAAAACAGAATCTAAGCTTGTCTACTCAGAAGATGAAAAGACAGATGAAAAACCTAATAATAAAAGAGACTCCTATCCTACATCAGTGATTACCATCTGCTTAATTTAGTCACAGGTATCATGAAGAAACCCTTTCTTGCTTCCCTAAGTTATCAGAACTATCTCATATAGCATGCTGCTGGCTCCATCACAAAAACGTCAATAATCACAACTTGCATCTCAGCAAAGATGAGTGACCAACACAGAAACACACAATTGTCCCATCCTTACACTTAGCCTGTACTGTCAATTTTCTGTAAGTCTACTGTTCCAAAAACAAGGGTGTGGAACCTTCCCACAGACATCTCTTAAGATATTAAAGATTAAAAATTGACTCAAATTCAAGAATAACAGATACCCAAGATACATATTATTTTTAAAAAATACATAAATATGCATACATTTGATTTACTATTTCTCTTAAGATACATCTACCTGTTTCTTAAAATGTCTGTTATATTTTTGGTTAATTTGTGCTAAAATATATTTTGCCATTACTACTGCCACATGTAACTGACTGTGTTGATTAGACACCACATGTTGAAACATTCATGAGAAAGCAAGAACAGGGCTCACTCACAGCTCAACCAGCAGTTAGGTGGCTGACATACGGTCAGTGTTTCACTGGCTCAGTCACAGGTGAAGACAGACTCAGAAATTGTATCTCAGGTTTCTCTTACAAGTCTTGGAAATTCCATCATACAGAAGCTGTTTTCTAACATCCCATCACAAAGGGGAATGAATACCTGTTCTGCATGTACACCCTTGGATTGAGGTTGCCACTGCAGACTTCCTAAAGTCATAAAGGATGAACACTTCGACTGCTCAATTTCTCACATATGCAGTCTTCTCCCTAGCCCAAGCAAAACTGGAAAAGTTTCCATTTCTAGTTCCCACTTAGCAGTGTTCCACTGGTTTTTGCCCTCTTGTACCATTGCTTCCTCTTTCCATGGCTGATTACAAATCATGTGTATTTTGTATTCATGAAAAAAACCCCACATGCATATTTAATTTTTCTGTTTACAAATTAAAAAAAAATCTGAGCCAGTTCAGCTAGCTGATGGAAAGCAATTAATCTATTCAACTCAATGAAGCAAAATTGATTTACCCCCTAAGAACCAAGCCCTAGCTATAATATCCACATGCAAACTAAAATTTATAAAGCTGAACTTTTGGGGTTTACATAATGAGGAAGTGAAGGCACTGGAGGCAGACCATGTTCCTGTTCCTCACTCTGGTCTCTCCTCCCCCAAGACACTAAATGATACAAGTGCTGCAATCTGTACAATGTCAATGGATGCCTGTGTCCAGAGAGAGGAAAGGGGGGAGAAGGGGCTATGGGGTTGATAGGACCAAACACCTGGGCTGGAAGGAGAGAGGAAATTATCTTGTTCTCCTCAACTTTTTAATTTGAATTAAAGCCAGAGTGAGGTACAGTCTCCTAGCAAGATCAAACTGGCAATGTAGGGCTCATGGAAGACAAACATGTCTACATGCAGGGGGCTAAAATCCTACCAAACCTATTCATAAGATTTAATACTGATTTTTAAGATTTGGTCTTTTTTAAGACCAGTATCACAAAAGATCTGAACAATATTCAATCTCTACTTCCACTGTAAGACAACTGACAGCTCTCTCTCTCTCTCAAATACGTATCTATACACACACCTCAAGCATCAGAAAATGCATGCTCAAGCAGGTTCCCAAGCATGCCTGAGGATTTCTAACTCCCCTCTTCTATGATATGCCCTCTCAGTACACTTGAACCCACACTAAGAGTTCAACAAAGGAAGTGGGTCTACACTAGGAAAAATGCCAGCGAAATGCTAGAGGAAGATACATGAACTCAGATCACTGGTTAGTGTATTTCATTATGTAGAACCTTAGTCATAAGAAAAGCCAATGCTGCTCATTCCAGAACTATTTATTTTATTAGATTAGGTACACAGGATGTGCCTCTGTGTTCCCTTACCGGGCTTAAATCTGTCCCAGCACCTTAAAGTAGGTTGTCAGGATAAATTCTGTTCTCTGAGCAAACTTAGTGGAATTACTCAATATCAGTATAAACAGGATGCAAATTTAAATGGGAATTTGAGAGAATTTAAATGGCCAAGTAAACTTTATATACATATAATCGGGGGTGTTCAAGACCCTTTCTACTTAAAACGGATAAGGATCTCTCAACTAAAAAAAAAATGTAATTTATTTTTGCTTAGACTAACCTGGCCACATTAGCTAAAAAAAAAGAAAAACCATCAGGGATGAAAATGTCCATTTCTTTCTAAATACTAGCGCACTGCAGAATTAGGTCAGAAATAGCAGATGTTAGCCTAACAAAACTAATGCTAAAAACACTTCTTTCAAAATGATTAGCCTCTGACACAAGTAACTGCTTTTACACTTTTTATGTAATGCTTTATGAAATTAGTTATTAGCGGATCTCCTGGTGGATTGACAGCTATGGAGATTTGTGCCCTGAATTTCTCGGGGTGGGGTGGGGGGGAGAAAGGAGAGATAAAGACTGTTGGTTAGATGCACAGCTGCATAAATCGTTCTTTACATTGACCTGAATTATTCTGCCTTTCGCCAGCATTTTTTTATTGTCCATATTTGCTTAATCTTGATAAACAAAAAATATGTAAAATGGGTCATATGCACAGAATAATTACTTTTAGAAAAATAAAAAAAGCTTACACACCACAAATTACACAAACATGTTCATAAATAGAAGACCTCATATCAACCTAAACTTTCCACGTAAAATAATCCAAATTTACCTACTTACTGGTATCCAATTCTTTATTTCATGAACAAACCTCCCCCCCAAAAAAGAAGTCACATGCAGATTGAGTGCACAGGACCACTGAACTCCACTATTTCAAGATGGTGTCTAGTATAAACAATGAAATTATTGCAATGTAATTCAATATTACCCTTGAGTGTGATAGCCTTTATAAGTTTTAATAAAATAGAGAATTAGAACAAAATTAGTTTTCATGATATTTTCAAGCACAACGCTAGTACACTATTTTCAATCGAAGAAATACATCTCTACACACTACTTCCTGCAGTACCATCCCTTTTTGAAAGATCACTTGTACCAGCAATGACTGCTTTTAAAATTCACATTGATGTTCCTACCACTTTAAAATGTATTAATGTAAAATTTCCCACCATCCTCTCATTAAAAACTAAAATATCTAGTACAATATTCAGCTAAATAACACCATTAAAAATTGAAAACAGACAACAAGTATACTAGGAAAGGCAATAAAACTTCAGGACTGAAACAAGTGTCAGAAACACAGTAACAGCTAGTAAATATATTTAATCACTATAAGCAATAGAAATTCAAATTAAAGTTTTTATACCACACAAATATACATATACATGCAGCATAATATTAATGTACATTCTCCTCCAAAGAATATTACTGCTGAAAAAATCTTATTTTAAACATAAGGGAGCACATATTAAAACTGAAAAAAAAACCCCAAAGCAATTCCATATACATTTTATTTTAAAGTATCACTATATACCAATCTGATTTTTTTTACTAAAATTATCTATACTTAGTACAGTCTCAAATACTAGCCGCTAATCATGACCATCAATTTAAAAGTGCAGCAAACAAACAGAAAATAAAAACTCAAGAGTACTTACCAAATTATGATTAGTTGAATTAGAATCATCTTCTGGGAATGGGATGTAAACAGCTAAGGCCACACAATTGGCAAAAATAGACAGTAGTATAAATATGTCAAATGGTCTGGAAAATCTTGTTAAGGAATTCATGAATTATGAATATCTACAAACTTTTAAGTCTAGCTCTCCTTTCAGCATCAACACTTGTAAAACAAGTCTTACTTTTAAGGCAATCTTTTGACTGATAACTATGACAAACATTTCATCACCTTTAGTTAGATCACTATACCATATTATTTTCCATCACAATGATCTTTCAACGTCCTCTTCTTTTTGAAAAAAAGAGAAGACTATTACTCTTGCTGCCACAGAGCACTTTATATTAAATTCCAGAGATGAATATAATTATACAGTCTTAAATCAATATGTGGTCATCATGATGGGTAAGGAATACTTACTGAGCTCTTCTGTCCTCATATGCTCACATAAGTCTCACTAATGTTAACAGAAATGTGTTTGTCCAAAGGAGGAAAATAATTTGGAGTCTAGTTCATAGTAGGATATGAGAAAGATTCCCAGCAAATCACAGCTGTTCTCCTGTACGAGAGCTGGAAAGCTGTACAATGGACGCAGGAAAATTCTGAGACCCTCTTCATGTCTCTGACAGCTAGACTCTGGAACAAGTTTGCTTTGGCCAGGACAGATGAAAGTTTAGGTGAGTAGACTGGGGAATGGAATATCATTACTGGCTTGGCAACCACGCATACCAAGAGGCTATAGGCTTTCACACTGACAACAGCATGAATTGCAGCTGCACTTTTTATACCATATCTGGATGACAGCAGTTGAAACCTAGAGATACCTTTTGTCTTCCAGAAAGAAAAATATTTCTTAAGATTCATGCCTATGAAGTTCATCCTTCAGTTTATCATTAATTTGCCTTTCCCTCAAAGTATTTCATTATTTTCTTTTAACTATGAACACGGAGGTACCCAGATGAACGTATTTGTGGAAGTTTGGAAAGGGAGTATTTTGGGCTTTACCTATGATTTTTGACAGCCTTTCCTCTATTCAATGCACAACTTCCTGATACGCGTCCATGCGAGTCACATAAAAGACTGAGGGAAGAGTACTGAATATACTCCAAGGAAGAGTACCAAATATACTCAAAAGCATATATTTTTGTCAGTTTAAAATCTTTTTCCTGACAAAAACTCCTACAAAGCCCATATGCCCCTTAAGATCTGTTAAATTTTGTTTGTTGCCCTACAAGAAATTTGCCACCTCAAGGGCTGAGTTTATGTTCACAAAGCCTATCAACATCAACAGCTGCTGTGTTGTGTACAAAATAAAGTTACAACACACATCTTAACATGCAGCATTCTCCAGACTGAAATGAACAAATGATACTAGCGCAAGACTGACAACCTTATTTTATGACGTAGTGCTACTGGGACAAATTCTGCCCGAGTTATTCCACTCTAGATCCATAGTAATTTCATTTAACTGACCTTAGCCAAGGAGAGGCCAATTTACTGAAATTAGTTGGACTTCTACCAGTTTAAATGAAAGCAGAATCTTTCATATGCAATTGAATTATGTTCAAAGAATTGAAAAAACCAAGCCTTATAAATGAGTAACAGTTCCTATTGCCAGGTTGGCTGTTCTGTTTAAAGTAACAAAATCAGTTTTACTTCAGTAATCTACTCTTGAACAGCTGTTTCCCGTTACAGGGATGTTGCCATGGCTAATAGGCAAACATTTTTCTACTCATACCTCAACAAAACTATTTTCTATTTCAAACCTTTTCTTGAGAAATAATATACCAAATCAACATGCTATCAGTTCTGCCAAAGAAATCCACATACTTCCACATCACAACCACTGAACTAAAGATAAAGCAATCCTTCCCAGCATACAAGTCATCATGAATACAGGCCAGTATATCTGATCTCCTATCTAGAGATGTACACGCTTCCAAATGTTTGGAGGTAGACATATGTTGTGAAAGTTCAGAGATTAATATATTTCAGACACTTGCATGTACTTAGAATGAGTCCTTGGCTTAACTAAAAATCTTCCCTACTTTTAGTACTTGCAAAAAATAATCTTTTTTAAAAGATTTCTATATCTGACTCATTTGCCCTAATGGCAATACACCAAATTGTAATATGGAAGACACAGGTTTGACATCTTAGGTCATCTCCCAATTAACACTGCTAGATGCACTCCTATCCATTCAACCTTATTTGGAAGGGCAACAAATGCAATACAGAGATTTGCTGGAATATAATGTAAGCTTGTAACTTTAAAAAGTTCTGAAAGCGTTCCCCCATCTCCTCCAAGAAAAAAGGAACAGCTATGAGCTCTTCTCTGACTTCGAACTACTTACTTCAGTAAAATGATACTCTAGGTCATTATGACACAAATAAAGAGGATATCTTTAACAGCAATTTAAGCAAATTTAACTACCATCAACATTAATGACAGTTACCCACGTGCAAGTGAACTCATGTTAGCTGTGATGCTATAAGAGATGCTGTAAAACATGCCCTTGATGCATTAAGAAAACGCAAGGAACAGCCTGTGAAAATGAAACTGAACCAAAGGATACTTCCATTCTACTAGACTAATGCAGGCTCTTCGTATTGGGTTGTTGAGGGATAAACAGAAAAGGGCACGGGGTGGCCGACTATTAGACGTATTACCCTGTTTTTTGCTCTTGGCATATTGCTGGCGTTTTCTTTGGGACAGAGACCCTACAGGCTGGGCTGTGGTGGTACTCATATTTTGGGCAGCCTTTGCTTGTCTAGCAGCATCAATTGCAGCTTGCCAAGATAGAACAGTTTGCTTGGATGGTGCTGAACTGTTTGACTGAATAGCTGGTCCGTCACCAGGGAGAGGAATTCTGGTGCTACTTGCATAGTTCGCCTCTGTGGGACAAAAGAAAAAAGTATTTGGTTATAAATTTTTATGCTAAAACGTGTCACACTATTTCTGACAAAAAGATTATTTTAAGACCTCTTGGCAGCATGATGCTTCCATTACACATACTACAGAGACAATTGTATGCGTGTATATATGTGATTGAACAGTAGCAAAAAATGCTCAGGAATCCGTACTACAACTTCAAGTTTAATCCAAACATCAAGACAAGTGCTACACAAACACTTCATGTTTTGATTCTTCCACTTACTGCATTTTTTCCTAACTGGATGGCAGCTTTTCTGTCACCATGTTTATCCAATAAAACATAGCTACTCAACATCAACTTTGCTGTAGTACCATAGCATTTACTATTTTCTCACTTCATTTTGGTCAAAAAAGTAGTTGTTTGAACAATGTTTAAGTATTTTAATTAAGAATAACCAACCCCAAGGGGGGGGGGGGGGGGGCAGGGGGAAGTCCTGTAAGCAAGTTAAATCTTGCCCTAATCTGCATTTTCAAAGAAAAATGCATGGATGCCTCCCACAAGTGAGAAATCCAATATTGGTCTGCTGATAAACACGTTAATAAAGCACTGGTACCTTTCACACTAGAAATTACAACCGTGAAACCACTATAAAGGGATGGGGTTTGTTTTTGCTTTTTCACAAGGATTTACAAAATAAACTGCACCTTCCAAACAACAATAAAGTCCTTTTTATCCAGATGACAGCAAAAGCGGCAAAACACCACCTCCTCACAAGCATCTTTCCTCGCGAGCTCTTTGACTAGAGCAACAGTCTACTCCTACACGCACCTGTAGGAAGGAGAGACTCCTAAGTGAAATTCAAAACTTGAAGATGCCTGGGTGGGGAAAAAAAATGGAGGAACGGCACAATATACGTGCTGGGAATTAGGGCTGGCAGGCGGGATGACTGTGAAATGGATCTACCCAGGCAGGAGAGGAAAACAGCTCTCCAGCGATCGCTGCTCGTCAAACAGAGGAGAGCCACAAAAAGCACACCCCTCCTTTTCTAGACGGGGGGAAACAGGCAACGAGAAAGACGCGAGAGCCGCGAACAT